ACATTTCTGAATTGGGAAAAGCTGTTCTGGTGGGAAAGAGCAGAATCAAAAGAGATCACAATCAACCTGTTGTAGTAGAATTTTGAGTGTACCTAAATTAAGCATGAATTAGATTTGTGTGTTTATGCCATGTGATCAAAATGACATTGCATATCTGTGCTTATGCTCACGGTTCTTCCAACCTGGTTTACCACACCTTCTCTCTATCTTCAGCTCAAATGCTCCCTCTTCTGTTTAAATTTGGCCTAGTTTCCCTATCTGAAGACTTTAAAATATTTTTTCTGTTTAATAATAGCAGTACTGTGGAGTCCAAGCAAGACTATTTTGGTCACACTGTCCCTTCTGGGACTCCTCAGACTGCTTGACATGCCTTCCTTGTTCTAAGAGGTTCCCCTAATTTACTATGCTCAGGTTTGGGCCATAATCCCAAAAGACATAATCCCAAATGCCATAATCTTTAATGTTGAAATCCCAAAAGATCAAAATCCCTAATGTCTAAAATCCCTAACATCTAAAATTCTGAAATTCACAATCCTGAAAGATAAAAATCCCTAATGTTGAAATCCTGAAACCTGAATTTTGAAGAAGAAATGTCCTTTTCGTATATCTGCATTTGTGCAAGATAAAATTTCTTGAGATCTTAGTTCTTTGGGTGACTGAATATGTGGTAGTGATCTATGGCAGTTTTTGATCAATTTCATCAAAAGACAGGTTGTGCCTTAAGGTATCTCAGATGACTGCAGTTATGAAGCTGAGCACATAATTGTCAATCATAATGATACGCATTTATGCATTTCACTTTTGATCTATTGTTTTATGAATACGGTTTATCTGCTCATAACTGTTATACCATGTGACTATTATTAGTATACCTGAGTGTTTATGTTTGCAAAAATATGTATGTTATTATTGCCTATTGTATTGTGTAAGGTGGCCTATGAAGTGTTCTGTTGAGTTTTATGTTTCTCAAATAAATCCCCTTCTTAAAATGTAAAGAATTTATATTCTTTTTAATTCATTAAAAATCATCTAGATTAGTTTTTCCAGAATTATATTTTCGGGATTTCAATTTTGGGAGATGGTGATTTTAGGGATTTTAGACTTTAGGGATTTTGATCTTTGAGAATTTCAACATTTGAGATTGTGGTGCTTGGGATTGTGTCATTTAGGATTATGATTGGCACCAATTGTATTCAGAATCTAGAGCTGCTTAGATAAGGGATTAGAGCATGACCCAATGAGAGCTATCTCTAGGCTGGTCAGGGGTCCATGAGGTAACCTAGAATGACTTATCTTCCCAACAGAGATCCCCAGTAATGCATGGTGCCTAGGCAATAATAAACATGGCGAACATCTGTTTAGTACTTACATCAGGCACTGCTTGTCCAATATAACAGTGTAAGCGGGGAGAACTGTTTTACTGACGACTTGATAAGTAGTGAAATGTTTCTAAACTGATTGGTAAACAGCTGCTGACAAGGGCTTCTTAATGGTCCCTTCCTGGCCCCCAAACTTCCCTTTTGTCCTATTGTTCCCCTGGGGCCCTTGGACCTCTCCATGACCCATCAGTTTAAGAGTTAAAGAGTTAATACCTGGCAGGGGTCCTCTAGGACCTTGTTCCACCTTCCCAGCACCCCAGCACCCCTGAAGTGGTGAGGGGCATTCTGAAGAGCATTCCAGTCATTTTGAGACCTGGTTGTGTGGTAGTTGAGAAACTTTCTTTTCATCTCTACTCCCTACCTTATGTTGTAAATTAATTGCCAACATTTAACAATCATGAAATTTCATATAAAAATTTAGATTTCTGGTGTTCCTTGGAAATTTGTGAACCTGACAACACTGGGGCCACATTTTGAGGTGGCAGTGACTGGCTGGAGCCAAATGTTGTCTCTTTCCTGGGAAGGGGTATCAACTCCTGTGGTCACCATCTATCCAGCCATTTGTGTTCTTTTTATCTGCCTGGTACTTGAGTTTGCTTTCCTTGAACTAAGGTAACCTGTGCACATATCTTTCTTTACAATATGGAATCCCTTAACTTCCATAACAACATTTTATTGTCTGTCTAGATTGTAAGATTCTTTGTGAATCATGTTTTTTGTTTTATTTATTTTTTATGTCTTTGACTTTACCTTATCTGTAGTAGGTTATATCCTCACTGTTTGGACTAATGAAGTTTAAGATGGTGTTGACATAAGTTAAGATGGGTTTAACCTTTATCCAGAATGTTATTAAAAAAATACAATTGAAAAAGAATGTATAATTGAGGAAGTCAAACAAGCTTTATGAGTTACACAGATAACGTTATGTAATAGAAATGAAATTCCATTTAGGTCAAATGTCAGGCTATGGTGATGTGGGAAGCCCCCCAAATAAAAGACATGGATTTGAATTCCTATTCTTCCTTGCCAGTTATATGATCTTGAACAAATTATTTAACCCCTGTGGGTCTGTTTCTGCTCTAGCAAAATGTAGGTAATAATAAATGTTCCCTGGATGTTGTTGTATTAAATGAAATATGAAATATTGTTCGGTTATGACAATCTTTTAGAGTGTTAATATACTACTCACTACATATTATATTTATATTAGTGTTTACAGATGAGAATACCAAGGCCCTAGAAAGGCTTGCTACTTAGTGGAAAAGTCAGAATTAGAACCCAAACCTCATGAATCTTGGCTAGTAGATTTTTTTTACTGAAACATCATTCACACTGTACCTAAGTGCAATCGAAAGATTAAGGAGAATAAATATACTTTCCTGGAGGTGGGATAAACCAGGGATCTAATAAATTTGTTTCAGCAAAATATGTATGACTACTACAATTTAAGTTTTCGGGCTCTTACTGATGAGATTTTTAGGTTAGTAATTAGGTAAATTGTCTTCATTTTTTTCTTAAGAAACTTTCCCTTTTGATCCGGTTTAGATGAGCACAGGTGAATGTTTTTAAAACAAACTTTCTCTGGGCTTGGGTCTTTGGCATTTGGGAGGCAGAATAGTGCTTTGAAAATCAGAAGACTTTTTGTAAACTGCATCTTCCATTCACTGTTGTGGCCTTCGGCAAGTTACTCTGGGTTTCATTTTCCTCATTTTTGAAATGGAGATTCTATTACCTCAAGTGGAGTATTGAGGAAATTGTGCCTGACAACTGCTTAATTTTAGCACATGGTTATTCAATTGGTTTATTCAATTGCAGGTTAGAGTTTGAAGCTGGAAGGCATCATATGTTATCTCATCTGATTCCTTCAGTCTATGTGTGAGGAGATCCCTAAGAGGGCCAAAGTAAGACAAATGTTATTCTGCTCAGACTCCTTTGATTTTTTTTTTTTGGCCACTGGCAAGTACCCTTGGCCTTGATGTTATAGCACTGAACTCTAACCAGCTGAGCTAACTGGACAGCTCTTCTTTGGTATTTATATACCCAGACAAGTATTTCATTTTTTAGACAAGACTTTTTTAAAAGAGTGAGACATCTCTATATAAAAGTATTTAACAAAAATAAAATTATACAATGTATATTTCTGGCAAAGCAACTTTAGAAATGGTGAATATGTATAATAAGGCTTTATATCACTGCCAGATCCTGCTAGAAATGTATTGGGAAAATTTATGCAAAATTTAGATAACATCTTAAACTAAAAAAAAAAAAAACAAAAACAAAACTATATCACATAATAAGTATCATATGATACAAATATAAGATTATCTGGAGTATTACAGCACAGTGTGATAACACCAAGGTCAAGGGTTTGGATTCCCATACCTGCTAGCTGCCAAAAAAAAAGATTATCTGAAGTGAAGGAGACCATGATTTTTTAATAAGTAAAACTATAAAACTCCAGAAAGACTTCGTCCTATGAAATATATCTTTGTTAATATAATAACAATAGTAACAAGGCATTATAATTACATCTAAACACAGAAAAGTAAAAATCCTTTGTTTCCTCTTTTAGTCCTCAGACGCTCAATTGGTTTTATGGATAATCTGTTACAGCTGTTCCCCAGCAACCACTCTGACATATATTTAAATAACTTGCCCCCATATAGGGAACCTCTCAGAACTTGCTCTTCAAAAAGACAATAGCTCAAAACATTTAAAATGTAGTTTTTGACCATGACCCTGTAACTTTTTTCTTCTCTCAAACCACAATGAGAAGTTTACAGAAACAAAAACAAAAACAAAAACTTAAAAATGCCAGTGTCAGCTTTTACAAATTTTTTATAGTTTTTCAGTGACAGCATTTTTGTCCCAGGACCACAGGGGTAGTTCTGTCTACTATTAGTGCTGAGACACTGAAGCTTCCACCACCAGCTCCTGCTGCACTGCCCAACTCCTGCTGGAAATAAATAACCTATCAAGGATTATAACTGGATTGTAAAAGTTAGGTTATTTTGTTTTAAATGTATCTCTTTAAATTTTCTCAAACTGTAAAATAGTTCAAATACTCAAGCTATTTACACTTTACACATATAAAACACAGTCACAAAATAGCACTTTATGAATGTAGTTATTTTTGGAGCAAAGTAAATATTGATGCAATAAGGATGAGGGTAAGGAAAAAGAGAGAAGAGAGTCCAATTCTTCAGGTGCTTATGCCTTTGATCAAAAAAGTTAGAAATCCTAAAAAACATAGAAATCATAAAAAGTAAATTTTCTAGCTCAAATGGGTTTTGTAAAATTATTTAGGAATAAATAATTTATTAAGTATCCCAGAGTAAAATATAAAGGTAGAAATCTTGAGTAGTTGAACAAGATCTTAATTTATTTAGTGATATTTTTTGTACCACATATAGAAGGAGATATAGAAAATTCAGCTTGTCAGCACAATGTTGAACTTCTTAATTTTGAGTTATTGAAGTAGATGCAGAAATGACAAAATTTACCTGGTTATAAAAGTCTTCTATGCTCATTTTATAATCTAGCTATCCAATCATCTTACCTTTTTGACATGCAAAATCGGTAGTTTGCATGAGCTGTTATTTGACTTTTGTTTATTAATTGTTACAGGACACAACAAGAGATGAAGGTAATGAAATCGATGCCAGCAGGATGAGTAAATTAAGAAAGACAAGAAAGAAAGTCACTAAACCACGTGTTTGTTCAAGTGAAGTGGGAGAAATGGATATATCCAATTCAAACGGTATCTAACTATTCTGATCCCTTAAAAATGGTGTGTCCATGAAAATCTCTGTTTGGTCTTCCTTTTCATAAAACATTTTGTTTTCTTCTTTAGGAGAAGCAAAATAAATAAATAATAAATAAAAAGAAATTTATTCCTACACAGGTGACATAAAATATGGCAAATATAAGCTTACAAATGTAAATATATGAAAATCACCAATAAAAATATTCAGAATTAGGCAGGCTGGTTAACTCAGTTGGTTAGTGTGCAGTGTTATAACACCAAGGTCAAAGATTCAGTTCCCCATACTGGCTAGCCAAAAAGAAAAAAAAATCAGAATTTAAAGACATTTAGAACTAAGTTGAGAGGAAAGAGAAAGGAGAGAACAATACAGAAGACCATATGAATAGAAAGAGAAGCACATTTCTGCTCTGAGAATGAATACAAAGATTATTACTGAGGATTTGAGAGGCATGAGAAAGGTATGGAACAAGTTTTCATGCCATGTGCTGTACCTCCAACTGTACCCTAATAGATCGGAACCAGTGCTGAACTGAGGAGTTCATCTGGACAAAAGACTCAATCCTAGGAACAGTGGTGTTCCAAGGCAAGGGCAGTAGGAACTGCGAGCACCTGGTAACAATAAAAAGCAGTCAGACTTTTTGTAGATTTTATTATTGTTTTTAAATTCTCTACAGACAATGCACTCCCTTATGGCCTGCAACTAGAGCAAACCACTCCCATCACCCCTCATTGGTATGTCACTGCCTAGGAACACACTGTTTTCTCAACTTTTTCTCTCATTATTGGATTAAAAGACAGTTGAAAACAATGGCAACATGTTTTAACGTTTTTCCTCTTTATTCCAGGAAGGATCAGAAACCAAATGGTGTGTCACAAATTGGGGGATACAAGCATATCAGTCATGGGACCTGGCTCTGCTGAGTCTCATCTGCCACCTGATGACAAGGACTTCCAGGATCAGACAATAGTGATAAAACCATCATCCCCCAAAACACCAGTCAGTCCTCCTGGAGGTGAATTTTACCCAAACTCTGGTAAGGATTTACTGGTAAGGTTTTTGAAACAAAATGGTGTATGGTTCCAGACATTAATTCCAAGTTTGTGTTTGGATTAGAGATAATGTGATATTGGTTGAGTAATGCTAGACTGGGAGTCAGAACACTTAAAAGAATTTATACACCTATCATTTGTACAGTGCCTTGCAGTTTTCTTAACCCTCTTGGTCTGCTCATCTGGAAAATGGAGGGGTTGCAATGGAAGATCTCTCAAGTCTTTTCTAAAACTGAAATTCTGTTATTCAAAGTTTCTGGATTATTGATCGTGCTATTACTGTTTTGGTACATGAGTGTTTTGGTTAAAACTCTCTTGGATGCAAATGATAGAAACTAGTTAAAAAGAGGGAATCTACAATGAAATAGTTGAATGAACAACATTTGGAAAAGTGGGAATAATCGTACAGCAGGTTGTGAAGTTAGAGGGTCAGCGTCCACCATGTTACCCTCATTTCTGACACCAATTGCAAGTTTTGGAGTTCTCCAAGTCTAGCCTTAGTTTTGAGAATTTGCTAGAAAGACTCATAGAACTCACTGAGAGCTGTTAAGACTCGAGGTTGTGGTTTATAGCAGTGAAAGGATATAAGTTAAAATCAGCCATGGGGCAAAGTCCAGAAAAGTTCTAAGCACACAGTGTCCACTTGTGCTCTATCAGTGGAGGCAAGGACAGTGCTATTCTCTTGGAAGTGATGTGTGATAATGTACATGGAGTATTACCAATCAGGGAAGTTCATCTGAGTCTCATCATCCAGAGTCTTTACTGGGGATCTGTGGTTAACTGGCCATGTGACTGACCTCAGTTTCCAGCCCTCTGGAGGTCAAGCTGATACTGCATGACTCAAAGTCCCCACCATAAGTGATATTGTTAGACTTCCCGGGATGACCCAGAGCCCCCAAATAAAGACACTCTTGTCAAGTAAGGCATTCCAAGGGCTTAGAGATTACCTCCCAGGGGCCAAGGGTAAAGGCCAGACCTCTTTGTGGGAAAGGTTAAATTCTTTGCTACACCCAGGACCTAACCAGGAACTGGAGCCTGGGAAGTGAATACTATCAGGATTCCATAGGAATTAGTTTTCTTTTGCCACCATGACAAATTACCACAAATCTTTAAGAAAGCACAAATGTGTTATCTCATAGTCTTGTATGTCAGAAATCTGAGATGGCTCAGTTGGCTTCTCTGCTTCAGGTTTTGCAAGGCTGAAATCAAGTTTTGGCAATCTGGATTTTTATCTAGAGACTTTACGGAATGATATGCTTCCAAGTTTATTCAGATTGTTGAGAGAATCCAGTTCCTTATGGTTGTGGAACTGAGGTTCCTGTTTTCTTGCTGGCTATGAACTGGGGTAACAAGCCCCAGAAGCCTCTCTCTGGTTCTATATCTCAAAGACAGCAATACCTCAGTTGCTTCTCATATTTGGAATCTCTTCGAATTCCCTTTCTTTCACATCTGCCTCCAGTTGGAGAAAGTTTTTTGCTCTTAAAGGCTCACCTGGATTATCCAAGATAATCTCTCTATTTTAAAGTCCATAACCTCTATCACACCAGCAAAGTCCCTTTGCCATGCAATTTAACATACTCACAGGTTCCACGGATTAGGATGTGGTGGACATCACTGGAGGTCCTTCCTGCCTACTATACCATCTCTCATCGCTGAAATTCTCTGAGCTTTGGCTTCATAAATTTCTCCATGAAGTGAAGAACATGAGCATCGACAGCCTCTAAACAGCAGGAGCTGTTGACACAAATGCCCACAGGGACCATGCAGGTAATACAAATGAGAGGTGGGCTGGTATAAGAAAATAGGGAGGGGCTCTGGTCATGAGAAATGAGAGCAGAGGTCAAACTCTGGCCCGAGGGCCAAATTCAGCCTGCTGAAAACTTTTTGAAAATAAAATTTATGTTTTGTTTATACCTGCTTTTGTGCTAAAATGGCATAGTTGAATAGATCCAACAAATATCATGTGGCCTTCAAAGCCGCAAATATTTACTATTTACAGAAAACCTTTGCTACCCCATGAACTAGAGGAGGAATGCCTTATCCATGCTATCTCGGAGCTCCAGCTAACAGTTGCATGAAGAAATATCCACCTGGTGTTGCCAGGTCTAGTTCCAGGAGAAGCTTGAACTCAAGATTCTTTACATGAAACTTTCTAATATTTAAGTATTGTCAACTAATTCAAAACAGTATCTGAACGCTGGGAAGACTAATCAGAAAACATCTGCTGGCCATGTTGGCTCCTCCACAGTTTGTGACTTTTGTTTTATATATTCTAATTTCAGCCACAAAAGAAAAATAGAATTTACCAATTCTTAGTCTTAAGTAAAAAATCGGAGGAAAGAACTTGTGTCATGAGCTCTCTTTGCACCAACCACCAGGACTGGGGGTGCGGGTGCCATTATGGACTCAACTTGTTTAGTTTGGAAGCTCCTTATTCTTAGTCTTAAGTAAAAAATCGGAGGAAAGAACTTGTGTCATGAGCTCTCTTTGCACCATCCACCAGGACTGGGGGTGCGGGTGCCATTATGGACTCAACTTGTTTAGTTTGGAAGCTCCTTCTTTGGCCCAGACTGGATTAAGTTTTCTACAGGCCCTAAATACCAAAAAGTTTATAACCCCCAGCAAACCACCAATACATCATTTAAAAATAAATATAAAAATTGACCTTCAAGATAAGTGTAAGAAATTTTGATATGGTATTTTCTTTTGTAATAACTACTCTGAGTTTTTCCAAAAATAATAATTTTTTCCTGAAGCAAAGCCCCTTTTCTTCCTTGCTTTTTTATTGTTTTTGCTTTTGATCCTGCTTTGTACCTGGCCTTTTGGCTACCTTCTTTCTGACAGTGTCTTGGCTAACATGATGTGGCCAGAGGGGGGGGGGGTCACATTTGCACTAACAGGGGGGCTCTCACAGTAGCGACTGGATGAAGGACTACAGGCCCTTGCAAAGGAGTGTGGCAGATCATCCCAGGCATGTAATAAGCTAAATGTGTTACCAAGTACTACAGGCCCTTGCAAAGGAGTGTGGCAGATCATCCCAGGCATGTAATAAGCTAAATGTGTTACCAAGTGTACTGTCAAATGCACTTTTCCCTTTATATAGATTGGTATTTCTGAAAGCCCAACTGCCGATAGAATCTGTGTTTTATAAGTGAGCATAGTTTGTTTTCTATAACTAAAATGTGTCCTTACTGTCACTGAAAAAGGACATTTCCCCAAGGACTTCTAGTTGCTATAGAGCTTTGAATTAAAAAAAAAATGTAATTTAAAATTTTTTTTCCTAAATATCCACAGCAGTAAAACTTCCTCTGTAAAAGCACATTGATTTAATTTATTAGTCCTCCGAGGGGATAGGAAAGAACACTTCCCTGGAAGCACACTGTAAGAAAAACAAATGAGTCCCTGAACTGGCAATTATCTGCCTGCTATTCATCATGTGCAGCTGGGAAAGGCTGACCAAAAGGTTTAATTGTAAGCAACAAATATAATTTATTTGAAGAAAAGAAACTTAGACAATGATGCAGCGATATTAGTTGATGCCTTGAAAATGAAATTAGGTTGGATAGGATTGGATATTGGTGAAAGAATTTAACTTTTAAATGAAAAATTGAAATATGAAAATATATGATTTCAATTTTTACTTACTAATTTATACAAGGTCAAATGACACAGGACATATTAATTTATTCTTTTATTTATTTATTCACTTACACAGTCACTTATTAAAGGAATATTTGTGGGGTGCCTATCATATGCCTGCACTGCTACAGGTACTATGGATACAGGAGCAAGTAAAACTATGCCCCTGCTCTCACGGAGCCAATGTCATTACACAATGTGGCAGCAGGTGGCAATAAGGACTCTGAGGAAAATGGAAATACCATGATATACCGTAAGGGGCTGAATTGTGTCTCCCCCAAATGCTTTTTTATTTTTTTTAAAATGGAGTATGAAGTTATATTTTAATACATGTATACAATATGTAATGACCAAATCAGGATAGTTAGCAAATTCATCATTGCAAAAGTTTATCATCTCTTTGTGATGAGAACATTTAATCCTCTTTTTTCTAGCCATCAGAAAACATGAAATAAATTATTGTTAGTTATAAATGCCTAGCACTGCTGTAAACCATGACAACTTATTTTTCCTATCTATCTGTAATTTTGTGTCTGTTAACCAACCTCTCATTACCCCACTTCCTATCCTCTTCTCAGCCTCTAGTAACCACAATTCTACTGTCTACTGCTGAAAGTTCAACTGATTATTTTTAGCTCTCAACTATGAGTGAGAATGTGGTATTTATCTTTCTGTGTCTTACTTATTTCACTTAACATAATGTCTTCGAGGCTTATCCATGTTGCTGCAAATGACAGGATTTCATTCTTTTTGATGGCTGAATAGTATTCCATGTGTATGTATACCACATTTTCTTTATTCATTCATCTATTGATGGACACCTTGGTTGAGTCCGTATCTTGGCTATTGTGAATAGTGCTGCAATAAACATGAGGGTGCAGATATCTCTTTGGTAGGCTAATTTCCTCTCCTTTGGATAAATACCCAGCAGTAGATTTGCTGGATCATATGGTAGCTCCATTTTTAGTTTTTTGAGGAACCTCCACACAGTTTTCTGTGATGGCTGTGCTAATTTTACATTCCCACTAACAGTGTGCAAGGATTCCGTTTTCTCCACATCCTCACGAACACTTAACTTTCACCTTTTTGATGGTAGTCATATATGTTGCCTACCTAACTTGAAGTCCTAACTGCCAGTACCTCAGAATGTGACTGAATTTGTAGATAGGGTCTTTAAAGAGGTAATTAAGATTAATTGAGGTCATTTAGGTGGGCTCTAATGTGACTGAGGTCCTCATAAGAAGAGGAGTTGGTATACAGACAAGCACGGGGAAGATCTGGTGAAGACACTGGGAGTAGATGGCTGTCTACAAGCCACGGAGAGACGCCTCAGGAGAAACAATCTTGATGACACACTTGATCTTGAATTTCCAGCCTCCAGAAGTGTGAGGATCTACGTTTCTGCTTAAGCCACCTGGTCTGGGATATTTTTTATGACAACCATGGCAAATTAATACATAGACTCACTGTCCAGCCACAGTGGAACTTAGAGATCTTGAAGTGAATCAGGGTTTTGACCTGTCCACATTGTGATATAGTCTCATATAATTCATTCTCCAGGTGATTATGTTTTATTTTTTTCAGCACTTTCACCACGTGAAATCATCCCACCTTTGCATTTGATAGCATGTTTGTTGTCTATAGTTCCCCCGCTCTGTGAGGGCAGGGCTTTTCCTCGCTGCTTCCCAGATATTGGTCCAGTGTGAATAGGGTGTGGTAATAAAAACAAATCTATCTTGAGTGCGTAAATGTTCTTCTTATTTTGAAATAATATGTATTTATTGTAGAAAAGTTAGAAGATGCAGACAAAGCAAACAACTAATACGATTAACTGTGATCCCATTACTAGTGAACCAATAAAATTACCTTTTTTCTTTTATAGGAGATGCATTCTTTATAGATTACATATAATTACTTATTATGTTTAGAATGCCAATTATCTGAAAATTTCCATATTTTAAAATGCCTATAAATTATATTTATTTAAAGAGCATTATTCAACTTGGGCTGAACACCCAATATTGCAGAATAGGTTGGGAACACAGCAACTGCTAATTTAGCATGAAACATTCTAATTGCTTCAGCTTAATTGTTTGTGTTAAATGGAAGGTAGTTATAAAGCCTCAGGAGCCTCAGAGTAGCCAAACGTATCAGTGACAGGAAATTATCTCTAATATATTTGCGTAGGTGGAACCAGTAATTTGTTTTCCTCATGCTTCATATACTTAAAATCTACTTAATGTATGTTTTTAAACTGTCAATCTTTATGATTATTTTTAAAGCCTAATTATGTCTTGAAAAAAATACTCATGTATCACTTTAAAATTATAGATGCTCATTGTCTGTGATGTGACAGATTGATGAGTGTTTGGATGCAGACATGATCATGGTACCATTTTCTAGGGTTAGAGTAATTGTGCTCACTTTATGCTTTTAAGGAACACTTATATGGTGCTTACTGTCTGCCAGTAACCATTAAACAACTTGTTTAATTCCCGTAACAAACCTATGAAGTAGGTAATATTTTATCAGTGAGAAAGCAGAGGCTCCCGTAACAAACCTATGAAGTAGGTAATATTTTATCAGTGAGAAAGCAGAGGCACAGAGAAGATAGGAAGGATTTGAAAGGAGGCAGATGGGTGTAAGTGTTTGTATGGAACCACTATACCCTGCTGCCTCTCCTGAAAGTTTGGACAGTACCTAACAGTTATCATGTGTACTATGTGCATGGCCCTCCCCATAACAAACCTATGAAGTAGGTAATATTTTATCAGTGAGAAAGCAGAGGCACAGAGAAGATAAGAAGGATTTGAAAGGAGGCAGATGGGTGTAAGTGTTTGTATGGAACCACGATACCCTGTTGCCTCTCCTGAAAGTTTGGACAGTACCTAACAGTTATCATGTGTACTATGTGCATGGCCCTTCCATGTGCTATAGATATATTCATTCATTTTGGGATAATGAGCCGCCCACCAAGAGTTGAGAAGTTCAGATTCTAGTTTTGATTTTGGCAATTAACTGATAGTGGGACTTCATTGTACCTCTCCGGCACTCAAGCTAACGAGTTGGTCAGATTAGATGATTTGTCTCCAAAGTCTTCTAGCTCTAAAGTTTTAGAATTTGCAGACTATCTATCTTAAAAGTCTCAAAAAAGAACTTTAAAAAAAATGTTTCTAATTTTAAAATTGAGTGTTTGAGTCCAGCTTTTTATTTCCTACACTCTCATTCTTGAAAAACACTTCTGTTGGCTTATTTAAACAAATTGAGTTGTAGATTTCTTAGATTCAGATGCCATTATAAAGAATAAAAAAAGCATTTTGGGAAAAAATCAAACAAACCCAAAACATAAAACCCCCAAAACAAAACAAAACCACAGAAAATAAACAAACCATCAAGTAATTTTACCTTCATTTGTATAGAAACTTTTAATTTAGGTATTAGCAGTTAGCTCAAGAAGTCCAGAATCTTTTCCTTTTTTTCTTTTTTCTTTCTTTTTTATTGAAATGTATCAATCATACATATTTTTGGGATACAGAGTTGTAGTTGAATACATTTATACAATGAGTGATGATCAAATGAGGGTAGTGAGCATATTCATCATTACAAAACTTAATTGTTTCTTTGTGATGAGGACATTCAATCTCCTCTCTTCTAGCCTTTTGATAATATGCAGTAAGTTATTGTTAATTATAGATGCCTAGCTTGACTAGACACCGATAGAACTTATTTTTTCTACCCAGTTGTTTTGTATCCATTAACCAACCTCTCACTATTCCCCTTCCCCCTTCCCTTTTCCTGCCTCTAGTAACCACAGTTCTAGTCTCTTCTTCTGAAAGCTCAACTAATTATTATTATTGTTTGTTTATTTGTTTGTTTGTTTGTCATTAGTTCCCACTTATGAGTGAGAACTTGGGGTATTTCTCTTTATGTGCCTGGCTTATTTCATTTAACATAATTTTCTCCAAGTGCATTCACACTGCTATGAATGGCAGAATTTCACTCTTTTTTTATGGCTGAGTAGTATTCCATTGCACATATATACCACATTAACTTTATCTAGTCATTTGTCAATGGACATTTAGGTTGGTTCCATATTTTGACTATTGTGGATACAGCTGCAATAAACATGGTAGTGCAGATATCCCTTTGACATGATGATTTTTATTCCCTTGGGTATCCAAAATCTTTTCAATGATAGTTATCTATATACAGACTTTTATGGTGCCAAAGCTGTTATGCAAATATATTCTAATTACCATAAGTAAAGAGATTTTTGGTAAGCACCTACATATGGTATTTCTATACTTATGCAAATAATGCTAACTTTAACATAGTACCAACTGATAAACAATCTCTTAGGATGTTTAAATACAATGTTCTTGGAAAGATGGTAAAGGCAGGCTAAGAAATGTAAAATCTTCAACTCTAAGCCAATGACATGGTAAATATATGATGCTTTTATTCATAGTCATAATGACTAATTCACTAGTCTCTCTAGTCTCCTTTTGCTTCTCAGTTCATCATGATCTGGTGACTTAGAACTATTCTTTATTTTACAGATCACACCAGGGACAGCACTGAAATTCTGACTCCACCTCAACTCTCTTCTAGAATGAAATATATTAAACAAGAGATGGCGAAAAATCACCTCCAATTTGTGCGATTTGAAGCAACAGACCTCCATGGTGTGTCCAGGTCTAAGAGTATCCCTGCACACTTTTTTCAAGTGAGTTTTACACATAGCTATGATTGAATGTAATTTCACAACCATTAGCAAGCAAATGGTCCTTATTACTCTTCCTTATTTTCTTGTAATCTGTATAGCAATTCAAACTGAAAACCAATAATTTATTTTGTTTCTTCCTTTGTCCCTCCCCAAACACATTATTGCTCCCCAAGGAGTTGCACATATACTTTCAGCTCTCAAACAGCAATTTCTTTACCCAATAGAAATGTAAAACCAATTAAGACTGGTAATTTTAGTTCTTCTGCCTTGAATAATTTTCCTCCACAGAATTATGTTTTCTCCCTTACTGCAATTATGAAGATTATATTTTATTTGACATGAGAAAATTGCAACAGAGGACCCAAGAGCAAATATAAAAGGGAAAAAAACCATTAAATAGAAAGAATTTGCAAGATAAAAAGTGTATCCCTTTCAGCTCCTAATTCTGATATGAAAATACTCCATTGTTATTTGATGACTTAATATTATTAAATTCTCAGAAATGGTGACATTAAGGAACATTGTATTTTTAGTTATGTTTTGAGACTTTCAGAGATATTTTTGGTCAGTGATATTTTTGTCATATTATATTTTTTGTCATGTTATATTTTTGTTGTGTTATATTTTAAGATATTTCTGTCATGTGTTTATTTTGATGACTGATTTGTTGTGTTATTTAAACATCAAATTTCTCATGAAGGGATATCAGTCCTTTTTAATGAAGAAAGTATAAAAGTTAAGCATCCTCTATGTTTAACTATTTGAAAAATATATATACTTTTATCACAATATCAAATAGTACCCTTTTTCATTTTCTTATGTTGGGAAAAACTGGACATCTTCAAAACTCTTTTTAAAGAATTTTAACAGATTCAAATTTTTTCTTAAGAAATTTTTTAGACCTGCCTGCAGATATTGTTTCCTCTTCATCCAGGCAAGAACACATATTGGTTAATTTTGATAAAAAAAATATGGAATCTCCTGTGGACAGGCCCAGAATATAATTCACATGAATCTTTTTCAATCAATAAGAAAACATAACTGACACTTCAGGCACTTGTCAGAGACCTCAATATAAAACTGTTTGCTATTCATTTTTTGTCACATTTTAATCATTTATTCCATTAATAACATCTAAAAGCTACACATTTAGAACATTGCTCTTGTTTATCAATGGAACCCCTTTCAAAAACATAACTTAATATGCTGATTACATTTGATGAGGACTGATATGATTAGTATAATGAGAAAATTACTGTGTTCTTTTTTCTTTTTTTGAACTGGTATTGAAAATATTTTGCATTATTTTGTTCAATATCTCACATATAAAAACCACCTTTTTTCCTGAAGTTTAATTAGGGAAAGTTTATTTATTATGAGAATTTTGATATGACTCATCATATATACTTTTAATGGCTAGATCTATTCTTAGTCCCAGTTTTCTGATAACTCACTTTCTCATTTTATTACCTGGTTATTGTTATTTTATTCTCATTTAGTGGTCTTAAAATATCTATTATTTTTTTCCATCCAGGTTATTGTGAATGGTAGTATTTTGCTCTTTTTTATAGCAGAGTAGTATTCCATTGTGCAGATATACCAGTTTCCTTATCCACTCATCAGATGGTGGACATTTGGGCTGGTTCCAGCTCTTGGCTATTGTAAATAGAGCTGCAATAAACATTGGAGTACAGGTATCCCTTCGGCAGGATGATTTCCATTCCTCTGGGTATATTCCCAACAGTGGAATAGCTGGGTCATATGGTAGATCTATCTTTAATTGTTTGAGGAACCTACATGTCATTTTCCATAAGGGCTGCACCAATTTGCAGCCCTATCAACAGTGTAGGAGAGTTTCTTTTTCTCTACCACCTCTCCAGCATTTATCATTCTCAGTGTTTTGGATGTTAGCCATCCTAACTGGAGTGAGATGGTATCTCAAAGTGCTCTTGATTTGCATTGCCCAGATGCTGAGTGATGTTGAGCATTTTTTCATGTGTCTGTTGGCCATTCATATATCTTCCTTTGAGAAATATCTTCCTTTGAGAAGTGCCTATTCAGCTCCTTTGACCATTTTTTAATTGGTTTATTTGGTTTTTTGCTGTAAAGTTGTTTGAATTCCTTGTATATTCTGGATATTAATCCTTTGTCAGATGTATATTTTGCAAATATTTTCTCCCGCTCTGTTGGTTGTCTTTTTACTCTGTTGCTTGTTTCTTTTTCTTTGCAGAAGCTTTTTAGTTTGATATAATCCGACTTGTTTATTTTTCCTTTAGTTGCCTGTGCATTTTGGGTCCTATTCATGAAGTCTGTACCCAATCTTACTTCCTGGAGTGTTTCTCCTATGTTTTCTTTAAGGAGTTTTATTGTTTCAGGATGTATATTTAATTCTTTAATCCATTTTGAGTTGATTTAGGTATATGGTGAAAGGTACGGGTCGAGTTTCATTCTCCTACATATGAGTATCCAGTTTTCCCAGCACCACTTGTTGAAAAGGCAGTCTCTTCCCCAGTATGTAGATTTGCTGCCTTTGTCAAAGATCAGATGGACTTAGAGAAAGATTACATTAAGTGAAACAAGTCAGGCACAGAAAGAGAAATACCGCATGTTCTCAGTTATTTGTGAGAGCTAAAAATAAATAAATAAATAAACACACAAACAAATAAAATTGGGGGAGAAGAAGACAGAATAAACACAAAAATTCCTTGAACTATTTAAGTCAAGTGAACAGATATGATGGGGGGAAGGGAGGGGGTGGAGAGGAACAGGTGAAGGGGCATGAAAATCAAGTACAATGTATATTGAGAAGTAAAATAAAAAAAACTTTTTTTTTTAAGAAAACACTTTAAATTCATTTTTGAACTTGTAAAGGTGTAAATCATAAGGAGTATTTGCATTATGAATATTTGTAACTACAGATTAATTAATTTATTTTGGAAAATTCATAATATATAGACCATAAAAATAGGTTTATCTCTGCAAACTAATCTAAACAATATGTGCTTGTGTTATGTATGTGTGTGTATACAATTCTATTTGGGAAATTCATTAAACAAAGAGTGGAGTCAATACTTTGAGTCTGCCCATGGCTTAATAAAAAGTAATTTTCATTTTTATAAAAATAATTTTAAGACTTTTTTCTGTTTGTCAAAAATAAAATATCAATTTGAAAATTATTAAGTTCTACCATGAAGGTATATAAGAAATAATATAATCCATCTTCTTCCCTTACAGATAAGGAAAATGAGGCCCAGAAAAGTTAAAGAAAACTTTTTTAAAATTATGCAGACAGTTAATGGCAGAGCTGGGACATTAGTCTGTGTCACCTTATTTCTAGTTCAGGGCTTTTCTTTTCTTTTCTTTTCTTTTTTTATTGCATCAACTGTCTTCAGCTCAGCTTTAATATTTCCCTTTATTCTTCATCTGAACTAAGTGTTCTTTCTTATTAAATTGAAAAAATATTGATTTTTAGAAAACAAACCATCTACTAAGAATAGAGAAAAATACTACTACATAATTGGAAAAGGCCAAACAGGGAAGATATGATAAAACAGTGTCTACTCTTTTTTAGAGAACTTACTATGTGGCTGGCACTGGTATTGTGTTTGAACTGTCAAATGCGTGGGGGACTTTTTCCATGACTTTACATGTGTCAAATATTTCCATAAGGCTTTACCTTTTGTAAAATGATTTTCTTTTTACTATACCTTTTATATAGAAGCTATTTTCAGATCTAAGAGCATGTACTACCTTCAAGGCTTAAAATATTGAGTTATTTATAAAGTTACCTTTGGGGGTTTTATTTTAAGATATTTAAAATTTATCTGACATCAATTTAGTGTTAACCAACAGATGTTAAACACATTTTTTTTTTTACTAGGAAGGTTCTTTTTCAACTCTTGTTTGTTTTCAAGTTTCAAAATCTAATTATTTTATCCTTTTCCTTCTTTAGGAAAAAGTGATCCATGGCGTTTACATGCCCCGAGGTTATCTTGAATTGATACCGAATCCTAAGGACGATGAAGTGAATCACATAAGAGCCACATGTTTTAATAGTGACATAGTCCTGATGCCAGAGTTATCGACCTTTAGAGTTTTGCCGTGGGCTGAGAGAACCGCAAGAGTGATATGTGATACCTTCACTGTGACTGGCGAGCCTCTGTTAACTTCCCCAAGGTACATTGCAAAGAGGCAGCTGAGTCAGCTGCAGGACTTTGGCTTTTCCTTTCTCTCTGCCTTCATCTATGATTTTTGCATTTTTGGTGTGCCTGAAATTATCAATTCGAAGACCTTGTCTTTTCCTGCTTCAACACTACTAAATAATCATGACCAGCCCTTCATGCAGGAACTCGTTGATGGCTTGTATCACACTGGAGCCAATGTTGAAAGTTTTTCCTCCTCTACCAGGCCTGGTCAGATGGAAATCTGTTTTCTGCCTGAATTTGGCATCAGTTCAGCTGATAATGCATTTACCCTCAGAACAGGTGTTAAAGAAGTGGCAAGGAAATATAATTACATTGCCAGCTTTTTCATTGGGACTGGATTCTGCAATTCAGGAATTTTGTCACATAGTCTCTGGGATGTCGATGGGAAGAAAAACATGTTCTCCAGCAGTTGTGGAATTGAGCAGCTCACAATCACTGGTAAAAAATGGTTGGCAGGACTGTTGAAACACTCTGCTCTTTATTCTTCATCTGAACTAAGTGTTCTTTCTTATTAAATTGAAAAAATATTGATTTTTAGAAAACAAACCATCTACTAAGAATAGAGAAAAATACTACTACATAATTGGAAAAGGCCAAACAGGGAAGATATGATAAAACAGTGTCTACTCTTTTTTAGAGAACTTACTATGTGGCTGGCACTGGTATTGTGTTTGAACTGTCAAATGCGTGGGGGACTTTTTCCATGACTTTACATGTGTCAAATATTTCCATAAGGCTTTACCTTTTGTAAAATGATTTTCTTTTTACTATACCTTTTATATAGAAGCTATTTTCAGATCTAAGAGCATGTACTACCTTCAAGGCTTAAAATATTGAGTTATTTATAAAGTTACCTTTGGGGGTTTTATTTTAAGATATTTAAAATTTATCTGACATCAATTTAGTGTTAACCAACAGATGTTAAACACATTTTTTTTTTTTACTAGGAAGGTTCTTTTTCAACTCTTGTTTGTTTTCAAGTTTCAAAATCTAATTATTTTATCCTTTTCCTTCTTTAGGAAAAAGTGATCCATGGCGTTTACATGCCCCGAGGTTATCTTGAATTGATACCGAATCCTAAGGACGATGAAGTGAATCACATAAGAGCCACATGTTTTAATAGTGACATAGTCCTGATGCCAGAGTTATCGACCTTTAGAGTTTTGCCGTGGGCTGAGAGAACCGCAAGAGTGATATGTGATACCTTCACTGTGACTGGCGAGCCTCTGTTAACTTCCCCAAGGTACATTGCAAAGAGGCAGCTGAGTCAGCTGCAGGACTTTGGCTTTTCCTTTCTCTCTGCCTTCATCTATGATTTTTGCATTTTTGGTGTGCCTGAAATTATCAATTCGAAGACCTTGTCTTTTCCTGCTTCAACACTACTAAATAATCATGACCAGCCCTTCATGCAGGAACTCGTTGATGGCTTGTATCACACTGGAGCCAATGTTGAAAGTTTTTCCTCCTCTACCAGGCCTGGTCAGATGGAAATCTGTTTTCTGCCTGAATTTGGCATCAGTTCAGCTGATAATGCATTTACCCTCAGAACAGGTGTTAAAGAAGTGGCAAGGAAATATAATTACATTGCCAGCTTTTTCATTGGGACTGGATTCTGCAATTCAGGAATTTTGTCACATAGTCTCTGGGATGTCGATGGGAAGAAAAACATGTTCTCCAGCAGTTGTGGAATTGAGCAGCTCACAATCACTGGTAAAAAATGGTTGGCAGGACTGTTGAAACACTCTGCTGCTCTCAGCTGCCTGATGGCGCCTGCTGTTAGCTGCCGAAAGCGTTATTCCAAGGAGAGTAAAGACCTGAAGGAGAGTGTGCCTACGACATGGGGATACAATGATAACAGCTGTGCTTTTAATATCAAGTGTCATGGTGAGAAAGGCACCCGGATAGAAAATAAACTAGGCTCAGCAACAGCAAACCCTTACCTGGTGCTGGCTGCGACTGTTGCTGCAGGCTTAGATGGACTTCAAAGCAGTGATGAGGTCTTGGCTGGTCCAGATGAGAGCACAGACCTTTATAAATCAAAACCTTCTGAGATCCCTTTGAAACTGGAAGATGCCCTTGTGGCACTGGAGGAAGATCAGTGTCTGAGACAGGCTCTAGGAGAAACTTTTATTCGATATTTTGTTGCCATGAAGAAATATGAGTTGGAAAATGAAGAAACAGATGCTGAGAGAAATAAATTCTTAGAGTATTTTATTTAGAATAGAACTCTTAACTATTCCTTTAGAGATGTGATTTTCACTTAAGTAGCTAATCTACCAGAAAGAAAAGATAGAACTTTTGTAATTGACAAGAACAACAACAACGATGATGACTACAGATGCTTTTGATCTTTTTTGTCCCCATGGAATATTTGACAGATGAAGTGGGGCTGTTGAGAGGATTCTGATAACAGAAACAAACAATAAAGTTGTGGTGAAGCTATAATATGCAAACTTACCAGATCTTGTCAGTCATCATTTCCTCTGTGTATGTTGACCTACATAGGAATATTCAGTTTGTTTCAGGCAATAAATATATTCACACATAAAAAAAAAGACTTAAACATTAGAAAGCAAAATTTTAATGACTAAAGGAAAGAAACAAGGAATAATTTTAATTACACACACAAGTTGTGACTGCCAGAAAGACAAATATACTAATATAATCTCACCGATCAAGACATAGTGAAGATTTAGTTAGCAAGCATCATTATGCTCTTTATAAATAAGTTAAATAAGTTTAGTAAAAACATGTCGTGATGACAAGTCAGCAGAGGTTTTTCTGTAAGTCTGTTCTCTTTTCACTCTCTCCAGTAGCTCCTCAAAGGCTTAGGAACTTCAAGGTTATCACATCCCCAAGAAACAAATCCATAAGAAATAGAATTAGGGCTGGGAACAATGAGGTCAGATTTCAAAACTACTCTTTCTTTAAACAATGCTTCATGTAGAAGACGAATACATTAAATATACATTGAATGGGGTATGTTTGTGGAGGTGGATGGGCTCTGCCTGCTTTGCTCAGTTCTTTGAAACTAGACGTCCCTTTGAAGTTTCTAGTGCTTTGTGGAGTGTGAAAACAACTGCCTAGCTAACCAGGGCTATGTTTTCAGCTTAAATTTAAGGTGCTGATTCTGCTGCCCACAGAAATTGGTATTTTCCCAGAGCATATTAACTGTTCCAGGCCTTTTTGAATGAGTTAATATTTCAACTACTACTAAAGTTTGGCTTCTTTTTAGGAAGAAGTCAAAATCCACTTACTGGCAAATGAAAACACTGTTCTACTCCTTAGGATCAAAAGGGAGTTTTTACGTTCAATTAAATCTGACTGTGGTCTCTATTTAGATAGCAAACACACAAGCAGAGGATTAGAATTTGGCTCAGATCCTCCTATTAAGATTCTTCATACTCAGTAGCTTAAATAGTGAAAGTGGATCTTTCCTTCACTAACTGCTCCCTTTTTTTCTCCTTTGTGCAGGAAGAGTGTGTTTGGATATATAAGAGTAAAGATCTTGGGTGGATTAAAGGGTAGGGAGGGGCCGACCCCGTGGCACACTCGGGAGAGTGCGGTGCTGGGAGTGCAGCAGCGCTCCCGCTGCGGGTTCGGATCCTATATAGGGATGGCCGGTGCGCTCACCGGCTGAGCGTGGTGCGGCCGGTCAGGAAAAA